CTAATAATGGAAACCATGGATATGAAAAATAAATAAATTTAGTAAAATTAAAATACTAATTACTATTAAAAAAACTATTTGGACCGTTAGTTTCAATTGTTTTTAGATAGACCGCCAATTTTCGTCCATCTTTAAGATGGATGCTCTATACCTTGGGGACCACAAATGTAGAAATGTAGTCCCCCCAGCATGAAACAATTTTCCAATATATAATGATTTACAAATCCATCAAACATTAATATTTAACTGTATACAGCCCATAGGTTACATCTTGAGTGCTAATCTTGTGAGTACGTTTCATATCATTATCAGACTCAAATCAATAACAAATTAATAAAGCATCAAATGTCTCCAGAATAACCCAAAATAAAATTCCATGTCTTTAATGAATGATTCATCGTGGGGACCAAATTCCTTTCCATTCACAAAAACAGACTTGAGTTGCAACCAGAATGGTTTTGTGTATTTAGATGTCATTTTCATAATGAATTTTAAAAGAGCCACAATGGCTGGGCCATGGGGATAATCTAGTCAACAGGTATAATGTCAATATGTAACATTCAAATAAAGAAACAGCAAAACAGAAACACAACTCACTCCAAAAGTTCTTCAGAGTCTTGACAAATCCTATACATTTTATAAAGAAGGAAATGGAAAATACATTATAAGGAACAGACTTGGCATTCCATAGTTCATATGCTCATCCTTGTCTTTGAAATTAGGGTTGGAAAAAGAGCGAGAGACACAGAGAGAAAGTGGACCCACCAGAACAGGAAATGATCCCAATGGTGGCACATTCTTCTCTCCATTACCATCCATTTCATTGCATGGTCATGATCCCAATGGCATATGCCTTTCCACAGTTAGTTGAACTATAGAATTCAATCCCTTAAGAAAATTGTGCTTGCATTTAGAACAATATATGAGACGAAAGCTAAAAGATGAAGTAATATTCCAAGAGTGCCACACTTACCAGCTCATTGAGCTCTAAGTCAGCCTGGTTTTGCAAAACTGGATTCTGTATGAAACCACTGATAATTTTCTCTGAGCGAGTGCCAATTGAAGTATCAGAGAGAGAGCTAATGGATGAATATTCACTTGGAGATTTCAAAAGCAAACTATCTTCCTTTGGATGTTGCAGCTTGCTGCCTGAAGTATTAGATTCCATCTGAGTTGCATTTCCCTCACGGTGTGCGTTAGTTTTGAGGTAGTTGGTTTGCGAAGATTGTGGAATGATATTCTGGCTATCCAATAATCCAGGCACACCTGGAAGGTTTTTCATCATCTTCTCCATAGCTTGCTAAAGGCATTATGAATCTGAGATCAGTTGTTTATTCTTGCAAGATGATTGAAATTGTCAATCTAGAAAATCAAAGTGAAATACAGAGTAACATACTCCAAGATATGATTGAATGTCATGCACCACTCCAGGCTTTAAGGCAATGCCTGAAAATCAAAACACCTCGATTTTGTTTAATATATAACCAGATTAGAGAGAAAACAATTGTCTAACAACATAGGAAGCGCATACAATTTCAAATATCTATAAATTGTCCAGCCTGTTATAGCAGGAAACATTTAAAGACAGAGCAACCAACATCACTCACTGGTCAAAATTGAGTAAACAAACAAAATATTTTGCAGCTAATAGAGGCTAAGAATAATCATACGAAAACAAGAACTTTAGTGCCAAGATTCCTCTTAAACTCATTTAAGTGGAATCAAACAACATGCATGCATACAAGGTCCAGAGACTTTTGCAGTTCTATATCACAAGGTTACATGATATGAAGGGTACAACTGGATAAAGAACAAGCACCTTTTCTTCTTTGGCAAATGATGAATATGGTTGACAAGGAAAATATCATCAAAGAAACTGGATAAATAACAAGTAAGGAAAGAAAAGGAAAATTAAAAATTGTGCTGGGTGGTACCAGGTCACAATAGGACCCGCATATGTGTTGATAAGAAGCCCTGAAAACCTAACATTTTGCTTAGTTTGTACAAGCATACAAAGCCTTTGATGTCTGGAAAGGTCAAAGAAAGTCAACAGGGTTCAGGTTCAGGAAAAACTACCAGTCCTAACCTACGGAAAATAACCAGAAACAATGAATTCACTAACATGTAGCCGTACTACTTGGAGCACTCAGAAAACATCCTCCATTAGCAGAATACATGCAAATGACAACCATATCAGCACCTCCAAACCATAGATAAACACCATTCTGCTGAACAGATATAGCTCCAATTCAGGTAACCAAGTTTTTTATAAATTTTCATTGACATTCAAGATTATGCATGCAGAATGTGTTACACATAATGTACAAACAGACCTAACCTAACATATAGCTGTTCACTGAGAGGGGCTGGAGGGGAAATGCCAATTGTAAACTTCCTATGATAACACTCTTCTTAGCCAGGTGTTGACAATCTCATTGGTATTTATTAGGACAAGAATAAAGGATAAAGTCAACCTACCACAAATAACAACCCAGCTAGACCAAAGAAATGGGCCTAAATGCCACTACCCTTCACCGTGCATATTTGTCCATAACAATCATATGCCAAAAATGTTCATATTTTGAATCCCCCAAAACACCTACTTCTTAGGTTACCAATCTCTTCCCTTGACGGATACATCAACCTATGATCAAGTGGAATGCTCAAAGAATCTCAATATGAAAAGATCCTATATCAGATAAGATAAGGTGTACAACATGACAAGAAATGTGAAAAGGATAACAAATTGAGTAACATATGCCACAAAGTATTACTTCGACATGCATAGACAAACTTCTCGTAGTGATTCATAGATAGTTAAAGGACAAAAGAACTACTGGTATTATTATTACAATCACAGGAAAAAAGCCCAATGAGTGTAGGCAATATATCTACATTTCACCGGTACAAACAAAAATGAACCATGCTCGACTTTGATACAGGATACTCAACCTATTATTCTGGAAACATTATGGAAGTTGCTGGCTAATGAAAAATGTGTTAAACCCAAACAAACTAATAAGTTCAACTATTCAATTGCCTTTCAGCAGGAACAACCAATCACTTGCAAAATGGGAAAAAGAAAAAAAAATTATAGCATTGATAATGAAGTGCAGGCAACATCCAATGCCTTAACTGTTCCAAGCAGAGAGAAAATATAAATTCCTTATTCATAAGGAAAGCTCAAATAATTATCTACCTAACATACACAATAATTAAAAGAAAAAACAGCACACAAAACTAAAGTCCATTTTTACTTTTAACTTTCATCATAATGCTTACCAACACCAAAACCATGACCAATACCAACACCACAGCCAATGCCTGCTTCAAAACTCTTCAAGCCCAACCTTGTTAACTGAATTCACACACCAATAAGCAGAAGATATATAGGATTTCACAATTGCTCAGAGAAATGATCAGACTGAATAAAATATGGTACAGGATAGCAATGTTATATTGTTGATTAGAACTGTTTAAGAGAATGGAAAGCTTACAGAGCCATTCATGTGTCTCCCGACACCAGAGAAAGCATCTGTTGCGCCCCTTGTGGCACTAAGTACTTGTTGAAATACTGGTATTGCACCTGATTAAGACATAAATCAATCTTTGGATTAATGCACATCCAAAAGTCCATTCTCTCTCATGCATTAAGCCGAAACTGCTCAAATGCAAGGGCTCCAAATTGCCACAAGATAACACAAAAGCCTAGCTCAACTCAAGTGCAAACTATTGAATTCCCACCACTTTCATTTCAGAAAACTTTTAACTATAAGTTTAAAGCTCAGAGAAAGACAACCACAAGTTTGAAAGGGCAAACTGTTATGATGTAATTTGGCTTCATCAAATTCATTTAAAGATTACAAATAAAGGAACACCACAATCACAACAAAAATAAACTATGTAAGATTCCGATTAAAATGAAAGGGAACTCTGTCAACATCACAACCATAACAATAGAAACAAAAAAAATTAAATTCAAACAAATGGATCATAACGATAGAGGGGCGGACATTCGCAAGTACACTGTTATTCAAACTTTAAAAGATTGTAATATAAGACGAGGTAATGTTGACAAAAATTATAGTTACAGCTTAAATAAGCCTTGTAAGTTGAAATTATATAACCCTGTTGTTCATTTGTCTTGATATCTTGTGTTCGTTTAAGTTTCATACAGAATTCATGAACAACATTATTGAAGAACTACATGCAAAATACTTAATCAGGAAAAGGGCAGTTGATTCAATAATATTGGGTATGAACTATGAAATGAAGTCCCTCAATCGCTTGAAAGAATTTGACATTCGTGGATAAAATCCATGATATGGAGAAATGGAATCAGAAGAGCTTCAAAATAAGTGTTCAGTGAATGAATTAGTGAGAGAAACAGAATCCAAATTCATAGAGACTAGCTCATGCTCAGAGAGAGAGTACCAAAGTTGAGAGGGCGACCAACGCCTATACCAACCCCGCATCCAATGCCAAAACCGGTCATAACTTGGCCCACTTTGAAAGAAAAGGGATTCTCCATTGGTGAATCCCTTCGGGGATTCTTCACGAAACACAGCAGATACTTTCAGGACCGAAGCAGCCTATGTATCTTCTCTCTCAAGACCACCATTGCTGCAACCAAGGAGAGGAATCCACTCTCTCTCTAAAAGGGTAAAGACCACACGAAAAAAAGGAAGGAGTGGAAATAATCAAGCAACGTCCTCCTGCACACGAGCCTCGGATTTCTGAGAAGGGATAATTTTATTTTCACACTTTGTCCAAATCGAAAATTTTCCCCTGAAAGTTCCTTTTTGGGTGAGTACCTCTGAACGCCTAAGTCACCAAATTCAAGAAAAGTTACGACAAGGTCTTTTAGTTTTGGAATAGGACACCGCACCTTGGGCCACTGGATTTGTATTTTGGACTGTGCTCAATTTTTTCAAAAAAGAAAATCTTTGAAACACAACGAAAGCTATAAATTTCTCAAAAATTTATTATGGCTCCCTTCTACCAAAGATAAATGGTCATGTAGCATGCAACTTAAAAATGTATTAATCTTTCATACAATGGATTTTCCCTTACTCTTACATTAAACTCAAAATATATTTCATGCCATTAAATTATTATTTTTTAAAATATTTTACTCCCTCAGGAAAAAAAAAAAAAAAAACTGCATGTCAAGAATTTGTTATCCGAAAGTTTAGAATTTATCTAAGACTTATTCGAATGAATATTTTAAAAAAATGAATTTTGAGTTCTCCAACATTTTGTTCTTTTCCTCTAAAAACTCGTTGTTCAATCTTGGAAAATTATATTTTTAGGCACATATGTTTTTCTTTTTTCTTTTTTGAAGTCAGTCTCTAGTTTTAAGAGGTTAAATTCCCAAAAATTAGGATCCTAAAAATACTACGTTGGGTTTTGTCCAAGGAAGTAAACATACACTTGAGAAAATGCCATTTGATTTTTATTGTTCAGAATTCAAAACATCTCTTTCCAGGTTAAATTATTTTCAGAAAATATAATTAATATCATCATGGGAGAAGCATGAAAAATTAAGATAAAATGCATCTTCTGATCGGATCACTTTAAGAAACTAATGGTATTATTTTCTTTGAACAATAATACCCAGATCATTTACATAATTTAGACTCGAGTTTTCATTCGTTTTGAAAGCTGATTAAGGCTTTTTAATCATCGTTCTACATAAAGATGCATAATTAATGTTAGAATTTCAGGAGGAGATCACTTTCAGCTGTGCGTCGGAAAGGTAGGAGCCAAGGTGTAGAAATTGCTTAGAGATGGTCCGTCATAAGAGGAAGTGTGCTAGTATAGATAGGCTTATTGTTAGGTTTGATGACCGTCAAAATCACCGCTGCAATATTTTGTTGAAATGATTGAGGATATTATTTGTCTGAGAAAAATAAAAAATGAGGTTTCCTCGTGGTGCATCAAAGAAACCCTAATAATCATGAGTTAGACACCTCTCATGGACTACGGGTGCTACAAAGTGACTTTTAGAGTTTCATTCTCACTCGGTCACGAGTAAACATTCAATCGAAAAAATAGTTCTTAGAGTTTCATTCTCACTTGGTCCCAAGTTATTCAAAGAGGTTGAACCTATAATTTGTCACTAGAAAGGTGGATTGGACGGTTTAAGATTAATGTCGAGGGTATTTAGGTCAGTTGTTATGCGTTTAAAAAGATAATTTGTTTGCTCATAGTGCAAATCTGAGAAATTTTTAAGTGAAAATCTCTCAATCTGACACTACAAACTTGATAATTAAAAATGATAGAGAAATCGTGGGATCGGTCAAATTATGATCTAGGGGGTGATCTATCCAGATGAATGGATCCTCCCTTAGATCATCAATAAAGCCGACATGATCCTTGCACTAAAATACTAAAAGAATGCTATTAAATTAAGATATAATTAAGAGTTAAAGCAATTGAAAATGTGAAAAGAGAAACTTACCTGACCGAACCAGCTGGCCCGGGACTTACCAAGCATAATGCTTCACCCTATCAGGATCATGGCTTCACTTTACGTTGTCTGTCCTCTTTTTTCTCTTCAAAATTGACCAAGCCATATGTTTCCTGATCTAAAGATTGAAGGCTAGAATTTGAGTCTCTCTAATTGGTGTTTACTATCCTAAGATTTTAGGTGTTTTGTCTGCACTCATACAGTCTAAGTAGAACTTGTTGACCTACCCTTAGGAGGTTGGACTCAGGTCCTTTTATAAACCTCTGAGTGGTTGGGAGAAGGTTAGGGTTGCTTATCTAGTTGGTTAGACTTCAAAATTCGAAATTCTTGTGGTCTAAGTCTGGACGACACAAAATGTGTCGTTTTGGTCAAACGTGACAAACTATGTCGTAGGACCTAACATTGACCAAATACAATGAACAGACACTAAATGGTCTGGACAGCACAAAATGTGTCGTTTGGACCATCAAGGTCGGCGCGACACATTGTGTGTCGCTTCGACGATACACTTTGTGTTGCTCTGGTCAAAGTCCACCAAAATCACGAGATTTTGATTCTTGTTATCTCTCACTTATTTTTGGATAATTATTATCTAATTTTTGAAATTAAACCCGATCTTTTTCCTATTTTTGGATTATTTTCAAATTTAAACGAGGGTTTAAAAGATAAAGGATCATGAAATGAGGACCATGGACCATGGTGCTTTGTGGTCCAAAGTGCTCTTGGATAGTGTGGTCCTAAAGATTTTCTAAGGTTAGAAAAATAATAGAGAAGCCCCCTTGTAGAGAGAAAGTTGGTTTATTATTGCTCTCACATCTATATCTAGTGTGTTTGGCAATAGTTGCCAGCAATGAAGAGGATGAAGAACGATAGGTGATGTCAATTGGGAGAGTGGTTTCAAGGGTTGTTCGACTGGGTATCGTTGATGGTTGGTATGTAGCTTTTATATCCCAAAATTTATAATGTACTATCATCAATATAGTGGATTTTAGTTTTTTATGCCGGTGAATGTAGCCTTTTGGGAAATCTTGGTGTTCTTTTTGCATAATTTCTTTCTTGTTTTATTTTTTTATTATTATTTGCTTGTCGCTCTTTATTTATTAAAAATCAACCCATCCGATTTTCGAGCACAGCAAAAGAGTGGGTTCAACAAGTGATTAGAGAATTCTCCTTTACCTATGACTTCCCATATTATTTCATTTGCCCTGTATGGCGTTGGTACCCACTTCCAATCGTCTGTACAAATTGGTCAATCACAACGTCCGACTTCTTTTATACCTATTAAGGAATTGACCAACTTGTGTTATATCTGCATCACGTTACCAGCTCCACAATTTTGGTAAATGTGTTTGATAACTTTTGTTTGCCATGGAAAATTATGTTTTCAAAGGCCATCTCTAATCTACTTTTGATGTCAAATATAATCTTATCTACATTTCCTACCATGACTCTTCACTGAAACAGCCACCATGGCAGAATCTCATGCTTCCGCTGCAATCTCATACCCCTTTTTACTACGACCCAAACAAATTATAAAATGATATTTTTTTTTCTCCCACTCCATCCATAGCAAAGAATTCTGGTACAATTTTCAGGGTATATTCAAAAGAAAGGATGCCAGACGAAAATCCGGTGAGTTTGGCATAGGTGAGCTCTGTTTGTGCCTCTTCTCTGGTTTGCCTCTGTTCATCCATCCTCCCCCTTCTTCATCGTCTCTCAAGTCTTCTTTTCCATCTTTTCTCTCTACCGTGAATTGGTCTCTGCGTTAAGTACTAAATACCACTTGAGGTTTAACCAAATTGGTAATTGGTAATGGATGATTAAATTCAACGGAGTAGGAGGGTGAGGAGAGATAAAGGATTATTGCACTCGTTTTCTTTTGTTTTTGTTTTTGGACATCTCTCCATTACATCTAGTTTTGAGCCCATGGTTTTGGTCTAAAGCTTGTAGGACAAGTTAGCCTTATCAAAGGAGCACAACCGTACACCAACCATGCCTACACACTAGTACGCACCACCTCCAGTTTTACCCACAAGTGAGATAGTCACGAACCCACGGGTATACACCATGCATACAAGTATAAGTCAAGTACACCATTAAGGAGAGACACGAGTTGGCTCAAAGAGCCTTATAAATCCACTATAATTCAATAGTGCTTTACAATGGTCTAAGTTCCTTAACTCTTATGAGGCTTTTTGTAAATGAGGGGTCTTTCTCTTTTTATAAACTCAAGGCCATACGAGCAACAGTCAAGATATATCCACATTGCATACATCCGGCGGCTTAGAACCCTCTAGCCTTATAGACCATTCTATTACAGTCTATCTCACTTAAAGCCCACTAAAACCCTTATGAATGCCTTAGAGTTCTCTAAAACCTTCCGGGCCTATGCAGCAAAAATAATGGGTCTAAATGCATAGTTTAGAGGCCTTTGCTAACCCATTGCATAGCAAGATCTTTGGGGCGTGAAACTAGGCTTAAGTCCGCCCTACCTCAAGCCCCAACTCCACCAAGGAATCCAAGTCATGGCCATAAACTCCTACCCCATTTTCCCTCAACCCAACCTCGCCATAGGCCTTTCGCCCCACTCCGACTAATCCTGCCTCATGAAAGAAGGGCACGTGTGATCTAGCAAAAGTATATAATAAATTTTTTTCCTTCTTTCTTTTTTCAATTATTTTCTTTTCTTCATGGTCTAGATCACTCACAAGAAGTCTTTTTACAATATAACAATTTCAAATAAAATAAAAGAATACAATAGGATCTCAAAAACTTGAAGACATTCAGAACCACACTTTTCATTGATATGCTTGGAAATAAAATATATAATAAATAAATATGGAAGAAACAAAACATGGTGCCGAAGATTACCTCAACCGAGCTTAGTACACCCCACGTCGAGTTTCCTCCTTTCGATGGTGCTCGGGATCTTTGATCGGTCTCTTGATTTCTCCTTCTTATGGCAAAACGTAAACATTACACATGATTCCCAATTTAGAACTACCCACCTGAAGCCTTAATTCTTACACCTAATTCAAGCCCCTTGGCTTGATCCATATGAGATATAGAAATCAAGAAATGAGGGAGAAAATTACTAGTTATGGCTGATCCATTTGGCCCCTACAAAATCGCATAACCAAAACCTAGCCTGATTTAAAACCCATGAGACCTTTGGATAGTTTGAGAGAGAGAGAGAGAGAAAGAGAGTAACCTATGTGAGGCGTGCCCCTTTGAGAGGCTAGAGCGAGAGAAATTCTATTTTAGAGAGAGAAGAGAGAGTAAGTAATTGGTGTCAAGACAAAGAAGAAGAATGATCTTTTTTATAGATTTTTAGGCATTAGGGTTTGCTATGAAATCGCAGGAGCAAATCTTGATCGTCGATTTAAGAAGACTT